CCATTTTTTCTTTTTTACAGTTTACTTACACTAATATGATCTATTTTGTTACACAAGATCAGCTTTACTTTGCATGTTTTGAGGTCTTTTGATTCTAGTGAAACTTGTCCATGTACAAGTAAAAAATACTCCCATTGGCTGAACTTACTGAACCGCTGGGGTAATGTGCTTTTTCGTTGCCAGAGATGAAGCAAAACCACAAGTCTCCATTTTCCTAATGTTAGTTCAGCCCAAGTTTCATCATTTTCTCATCCAGCAATTACATAAAGTAGTGACTATAATTGCACAGAATGTTGAATGTGTGTTTTGTTTGCCTGAGCAGAAGAGACTGAAATGCGTTCTCTACAGTTGTACTCTCCCTCCACATGCCTTAGTAATCTGAGAGGAAATGACACAAATGTGTTTACAGCTGCCCCTGGCCTCCCTCTGTAGGAGTTGGATTAACTTGAGTTTTGGCATTAACCTTGATGGAGATTCTATGGAAAACATAGCTAGATATTCATATTTATTGATATATTTTAACAATGGCTTTGTTATTAGAAAGTTTCTTTTAAGGCTTGCTTGAAAGGTTTGCTGTAAAAGGTCTAGATACTCTTTTGGAAAAGACAAATATCAGTATCTTATTTATGTTTGTAATATATTTTGTACAAATCACTTTTCCTCTTTGACATTGCTGTGCAGAACAGGAGCTGAGTGTAGTTCAGCTTTTTGTACTCTTCCGGGCCCGGCTCATGTTTCCTTCAGCATTTGTTTGGTGAAATTGGGTTTTCAGAAGAGCACCTGGTTTGGACGGTATAGAGAAGAAAACCTGCATTAGTCTCTCAGAAAGAGAATAGAAGGGGGTTTCTTTTCCCTCACATACACGTTGGCAACACACTGGTAACACACTTTGTTAAATAGAAAAGAACATAGACTTTTTTTTCTTGCAAGAAAGGCAAACTGGTAGGCCTGAAAGGCATTCTTCAACTAAAAGGGATGTGAAAAAGTCTAAAACTGTGATGTATACATGTGATTCCAACTCTTCAGATAATTTCCCCCATTCTTTTTCATTTCTGACTGTTTTTGAAGTTGAAACCTAATCATTAAAGTTTTGAAATTTAAATCCTGTGAGTCAAATACAATTTGTATGATATTGACCGATGAATAAATAAAACTTCCAATGACTGACAGTCCCTAGTTAGAGAAGCAATGAATGACAAACTACTGTGTCTGGCCTCAGGGCAATGGATCTACAATAGCTCCATGCTGTAGGTTCATTAGGTTGGACAGATGGACAGATCATAGCTGGTGGCACAAACTGCGTGAAAGCCTGATCCCGTCAGACCTCGGTAGCCAAGCAAGCCGGGTCCTTTTAAGTACTGTGATGGCTGACCGCTGAGAACACCAGGTGCCACAGTGGGGCGGTTGTAAGGTGTCAAACTTTTTCATTTTGTCCTTAGGAAAGACACATCTACTTTTCCTTATGAGTCTGCTTTGTGTGAACGATGATGATGATGATGGTCGAAAGGGCCGATGGCTAGGACTGGTTGCCTCTTTCGTGAGTGGTTGCTCCCTATACTGTGGACTGTGGCTATAGTAGTTAACCATGATTGTGTTATAGAAGGAATGACTGAATAATGCCATGTGAAGAGTCTTTGGGTGTCATGAAAAGTGCTATATACTGTAAGTATTATGCATCATTATGATTATATTTTGCTGATTTTGGTTGATGAGGGAGAACTATGCCTTGCTTTGTCCGTCCATCCCTGGTCGTTTTTTACTATTGTTTCTCCCTTAAGGTTGCCCAAAGAATAAGATTGTAATTGATATTAAAATGAACACCAAAAATAAAACAAATCAAGGACACATTTTTAGGAGTTGTAGATTGATTCTGTCTAAACCAGTAGTGTAAACGTTAGTACGTTTGCATTGATTTTTCTCACATTGTTTTTTTGCTGAAGATTATATATTCTGTTCCAAAATATCACGTGTTAAAATCATCTCAGTATAATTGAATACCATTCCAGTATTGTGACAAATTTGTACATCTCACTAAGCCAAATATCTGGACTTTTTTTTCCAAACAAAGCACACATGTTTTGATGGCATTGGGTCCTTGAGGAATGACTATAATCTCATTTGTTTACTTCCCCTTGACCTATAAGTGCCGTCTCTGAAAAGCTCGCACAAGTAAAACGCAGGTGCCTTATGTCAACCATGTCCACAAGAGAATTTGTTTTTGCTGCTTCCCAAACCGTGGCTCAAAAAGGAATGCCTCTGTGCTTTTCAAAGTAGTTTGGCAGTGTTTGCGGAACAGGCAACAATCCCAAAGGCGAGCCCCCGGCAGATGTAGAATGAGTCAGTTCACAGCCTTTAATTTAGCAGAGCTACCCCCCTGAGTCCTGCTTAATCCCAGACATGTATTTTAGGTAAGGCAATGCTGTGTGGTGAAGTAGGGAAATGTTAAGTTCTCGTTGCGTTTTATTGCTCTACTTTTTTATTGCCTTCTGGTGGAAGACGTCGTATCTATTTCTACCAAGCCTTGATGGAAACTGACTTAATAAACAGTCAATTAGTTTATTTTGTGTTTTAGCCCAGAGTATGTGGAGAAGCTGGAACACTGCTTGCTTGCTTGGGCTGATATTTTCTCGCTTACATTTTAGCAAAACAATATAAATCTTCAGTGTATAATCATTGGTAGACCACTTTTTATTATTATCTTAAGGACAACGCTATGATATATTTGGCGATCCAGATTGCCTAACTTTCAGATTATCCTTTTCCTCCAGGTTGATAATAATAGATTTAATTTGGACTGTAGTGCTACACAAGTCTAGACTAAGTAGTTTTCAAGTCAAGACTTTTATTAAGCATTTTGTTTTGTTTGGAGAATGTTGTGTAGCAGCCAGAGCCAGAGAAGACATGTCCATCTGAAGTTGGTGGATTTTGTAATGGGAGGTCATTCTCTTCACTTTCCACATCTATTACTTGCTGGAGGTGTCCACCAAAAAGAGCCATTGTGTCAAATTTCTTAACTTCTTCACGCTACGGGAAATCTAGGTCATCATATTTCTTATTATTAGCCACAACTGCAAGCAGATATTCTGGTTTTACCTAGAGCTTTTCCATAAATGTCGATGAGATTTATGGCTTGTGTATCCGGAGACAGGATATACAGTAGGATTCCCCTGCAGCTCGCTCCTGGCCTGAACTCAAACAGCGCTTATCTATGCATCAAGATAAGCCCTGGCTGCTCCCCTATGCCTCTCGAGTAGCCCCAAGACATTCTGTCGGCGTGCTCATTTGGTTAGAGACGACAGACACGGGAAGTAGAATACAAATGTCCAGAGAGATGGAGATGAATTTGCGATGCTCCCAGGCTGAGCAATGATGAATAAGGTTTAGCTTTTTGGTGAGAGCTTTTTTATTTTTTATTTATTTTACAGTTGATAAGATGGATAGTCTGAATTTATCTTTAATATTGTTCTTGCATCTTCTTCCTGAACCATCTTGTTTCCAATCTCCAATAATACAGGTTGGCCACCGTTCAAATGATTGAGTTTTCATCTATTACCCAATTTCAGTGATACATTATCTAATGCCAAAACTCCAGCCCAAGGATTTTGGGCAATAGTGTGAGCGACAAGGATATTCTAGATGAGTTTGTGTCTGGTCAGAAAATTAATATTCAACATGCTTATACAAATACAATCAGAAATTGTAGTTGCTCTGTTTGAGTATATAATTATTTTCTTATTTTCAGACAAAAAATCAGTATTCCAATTGTTGCATTCCTGAATTCCAGAATATTGTCTGCACCTTCTCTCAAACACAATTTGAAGGATGCCATCAGAAACAGGATTTTTATTTTCCTGGTTTTTCAAAAGCCTGACAAAGTTGGAACACAAAATGCAAGTTGTGTTTTGAAAATATGGCAAGAACTCATGACTCCCTGCAGATTGCCATTACACACATTTATTTATATGACCGCCAGAGTCACAAGTTGAGAACAGCACAATGCACTTGACTCAATCCACTTTTCTGAACCGTGAGAGGATTGTGTCATACATCATTTGCCATAATTTTAAGAAACAAAGCGTACTAGTGTATCTTGTGGGAATAGAAATTGAGATTCTGGAGTGACTTGCACTTTTGTATTATTTATTATTAACATCATTGGACTCTCACTGATTCTAGTGATTACTGCTTCATTTCTTGCTGCTTTGTGGGCTCTGTTGAGTAATGATTGTGCATGTCTTTTGATTTTCTGTCTGAATGATTGGACAGGACTGTAAGATATGACATGCCAAATCATATAAAATTTTTAGCTGTATATTTTTGGCAGTGATAGAATTTGCGGCCTTGTACACCACTGTGGTCCAACATATGGAAAAGTGGCAGCTGCAGCAGGAACTGTCTGTGTGCACTCTCTCCCCAAGCAGCAGGGATTCAAGTCCAAATTCTCTGCTGTCCAACCCTATAATGAAAGAACTGCTCAACACTCCATAATGATTTCAATGTGGTCCTGATTTGTGGGTGCCACCAGCATGTTTGTCACCCACCACCATTTCCCCTCGCTGCTAGCCAACAACACATGCTAACCACAAGTCCCCAGAGTTTTTTCCCTGCAGGGATTAAACTTTGGTGTCGTTTCTACAGCTGCCGCTTCTACATATAGCACTTTTTTGTTGATTTTGTACAACAATATTGATAGAAGTACATTGAGGTTTTAGTGAGTCAAACGTGCAAACATTTCATTCTTGAATTTGGACTTCAACTTCCTTGTTATTAGGCCAAGCTTATTAAACAATTTGCCATATGAACAACATCCTCACGGGTGTTGAGTGCCCAGCGCGGCCTGTGCAGGTCATTACTGGCATCATTTCAACTTTTCACTTACCGGGTCAAGACACTGGATGAAGACTGATCAATTGCAACCAAACTCGCTCGCAAAGTTCTATGCATTCTGTAACATAGTAAAATTTGTTTAATCATACTTTTGCCGTTTTCTTTTTACACAGAATTATGAACAACAACAAGATTCAAGAACTCCGAAATGGCTCTTTCTACGGATTGTCCACATTGGAAAAACTGTAAGTATTTGTTTTATGTTTTAACCTGTTGTCAGGGATGAAGCAGACAGAGACGGATCGTGGTGCGCCAAACTCTGGAAGTTTATTTAAGTTTCTCTCAAGTTCCAGTGGTTTACTTTGTTTCTTTCTCTCAGACAGAATAAAGGCAGTACACAGTTTATATAGTCATTGTCACGTCACACATCGAAAGACGTGTCACACAGAGACAGTCACATCATAGTCATAACATGGAGTCCTTGTAGAGTCCTTGTACAGTCCTGCACGTAGGCCATATTGCTATCTAATAATAACACCGTTTTATCTTCATTTTGGTATGACGTTTACCTAGTTAATTCTCAATTCATAGTATATATTTTGTATTACAAACATTCAAAGTATAAAATGTATGCAACTTCTAATGTGAACCATATTTGGATCACCGGAAATTCCTTGAAATCCATTACAGGATGTCATTCTTTGAAATAATTGCAGACATTTTTTGTGTGTTGGTGTACTGGCTGTTTATCTCCTCCTCAGTGGAACATTTAGGACAAAACATTTCCTAATTGCACTTGCCCTCACTTAACAAGCTGGAGGGGCGCTGAAGACGGCCAGGAACGGGATAATTATAGCTGTAGCCTCGGGGGTAATTCTGTTTATCTGCCTGGTGACATAATCGCGGCAAGGTATTCTGGGATACTATCTGTGTATGCATAGCTTCTGTCCAAACTCACTGCTTTAGTGTTAAGCATCTTCTTTCAGTATAATCTTGGGGTAAGGCCTGTCATCACCCATACTTCCTTCCGACATGTACTCTGTGGGATGTCGCCTGTGGTTGCACACATGAGCCACAGGATGATTTGTCAGCCCCAAGGATTCCTGCAGATAAAGTATCCAGAGCATCGATGGTAGTGTTTTTCCTAGAGGCTCCAATAACACATGACTGGATCCGTGAGGAATTCTAGGAGTAAATTACAGTCATTCACCTTGGAATAGTATCATAGGGAGAATCAGCGTATTTAATTCAATATAAACATTGTAATTATGAATAGCACGAAAAGTTCAAGCCGGAAAGTTTCTCCAAGTTCACATGAACAACAGGCTTTACTGAAAAGGCATTAAGGCTGTATCAGAGCCCTGTACATCTGTAAAAGATATGAAGGGCCAACCGAGTTCTGATATCACTCGTTTTGTTTGTTTCCCAATTTTCAGATTGAAAGCCAGACCGTTTGGCGTAACTGGATAGAAACATTTTTACCATTATTGCTGGCATGGATTCATATAAATTAATTTCCACTGAAACACTGGCAGCAGAAGCTTAAGAGCGCAGGGAAAAGTCAGGCTTATGTGTTTGGAAGTACATAGGCGTCTGGTGTCTATATGATTCTGTGGTAATGCAAAGGGACAAGACGTAATCAAAAGTTTTACATGGCTCCATCTTTTCAACGGGTAGCATGTAGATGGGACCTCAATGTGTGGTCCGACTGGTTTGGTGGTCTTACCACTAACTCTGAATAGTGTTTTTTAGCTTCTGCTTTGGAAACGTCCATGTTTGCGTCCAAAATCTAGCCCATTCAATAAGCTGTATGAGAAGCTGAGTTGTGTTTAAGATTTCCAGCCTTTGTCATTGTAATGAGCCATGGCCAAGAGGTGTCAAGCCTGTGTTTTTTGGGTTAATGTCCTGCCCTCTCCAAAATGCCCCTACATACCCCTTCCCCCTCCATCTATCACACCCCAAACTCTCTTTCCAAAGTCCAAAATTCTCCGCAAGTCTATGCACGGCTCTCTTGCCTCCAACCCCCCTCTTCCTGTTGCTTTCACTGCTCTTTCCCTTTTCGAGTCCACAAAGAAAGACTGCCTCATTTAGACTTGCCTATATGCAGTCACAGTGACAGCAGCTGGCCAAAAGTGCATGCCGGAGAAGGGGCTCCAGAATCGATTACGCCTATCCAAGAGCGCAGCGTGAAATTGCAAAGTAACTGTGGAGACTGCTGTGTTTTGTCAAGGGCCAAAGGTGTCCCTGCTTGGAAATGAGCCACAACAGAATCCCCATTATCTCACTCCCGCTCATAGAAATGGAGAGACGAGGCTAGGCGACTGTCACATGCTAATTCCTGCTAAATCCGCTGCTGTGGATGAATGCTTATTGACTAAAACACATCGCAAATAACCACCCTAGTGTCTGCTTTCTCAAGAATGCAAAATCTCAAATGAATAGGGCATAGAACATCAACATGACTATATAATCAATTGTTTATTATAGTATATCAGGAGCCTGATCACTCTTTTTCTTTTCTTTTTTTTACCTTAAATGTTGAACTTTTGTGCTCTTGGTTTACCTCTATTTGTATTCGTAAGAAGATGAAAGGAATAGGATTTTCAATATTTCATTTGGTTGTTGTTGCAAATATTGATTTTAAAGTTATTTTCAAACTGACAAAAAAAGCCTAGGGCGCCTCTTTCTTACAGACTGTGCAGCAGTACTTCTTGCACCCTACACTTTTTGCCATGCTTAGTGTGAACACCCTAATTGAGAGCCCAGTGAGTCACAATTTGACTCTTTTGGCAGATTATTAGGTTTGTTTCTCTTATTTTGAGGCCAAAAATGCATGTGTCTGTAGACTGTGGAAGTGCAAGAGAGCAATTTACAAGATTTTATATGTTGTGAATTGAAAGTTTGTTTCACTATATTTATTATCAGTCTGTTGATGCATCACTGTTCAATCCAATCAAAAGTAGTGGTCTCTTTCTCTCTCTTACTTTAAATCTAAGCCAAATGTATTAGTCACCACTATTACCCACTTGGGAGGCCCCAGACTTGAGCATGATGGCCCTTCTATTCCTGACGTATCCCATTCCTGTGACAAACAACAGTTCTGAAAACCAACCCGCTTCGGCTGAGGGGAATAAAAATAGCATCCCAGAAGCTCTTTCCCAAAATGTTTGCACTCCTAATAAATGCCCTAAAAGTGACTCAGTGGATCTTTCAGGGAAAGTTTTCTCTTCCCTGCCTTCTCATTTTTCTCATCTGGTCCCCCACATCAAACTTCCCAATCAGCAATAGAATGTTTTTTTTCAGCCTGTGTTCTCCATTGCCACAGTGAGATGACAGCTCGTCCACATCAAACGAGCACAGTTACCCAGAAGGCCTTTGTGTGGGTTCAGGTGGCTGGTGGAAAGCCTCTTGGACTGGAGTGTAATGAGTGACTATGCCGTGCCAGTGCAGGTGAACACCGCAGGAATCCTGTGACGGCGATCCTTTGAACCTTCGGGGAGAGACTGATCGCGTGTTTGTGTGTCTGTGTGTCTGTGTGGGCGTGTGCACATAAATCCTCCCTCAAATAAGCTGCGATATCAAAGGCCACTTTTCAATTGGTTTTGGGAGAGAGTAGAGCTGGATAATGGGGGTTTAGTGCATTATATTGAAGTCTCTGAGGTGTAAGAACAAAATGTCAGGATATATTATGATGTCTATTGAGATAAATATGAAGGTAGACGTTGGATAAAGTGCTGGATTTGAGCGTTAACTGAGTATTTTTTCCTGAAAACAATTTTTCTTGTAGAGAGTTCATTACATGCTTGTCTCCCAAAGATGTATTTGTATTGTCAGGAGTTTTTTTTACTCATAATCCTTTTTAACTTCACGGTCTTTTATTCCCACTTTCTGAAAGTTCACACATCGTCATAAATATATTCAATAGTTTTGAAGTAGCACCTTCTCTACAGCCCTCAACATAACTTTAATCAACGACTTCTCACTCACATTTCGGGGCGACAGTGAGGCTTGGTAGAGCATTGGTCTTTGAAACTAATTGTCCCGGGTCTGATCCCCCCACAACCCAACCCATGTCATCTGCTCCCACTGATGTCTGCTGTCGTTGGGTCCCTGAGCAAGACACTTAACCCTGCTTTGCCTGAAGCCCCCGCTGAAAGACTATGGCCATGTCTTTGATGACAGAGAAGCCATCATCTCATCAGACCTACCAACCTCTAAGAGGATCAGCAAGAGACTGGTCCTTTGAGATTTGGGTGGCAGCTCTGACCCAACCCAGAAATGGATTAATGAAGAAGAAAATTACATGACAGGCTGTTGTCACCATGTTAACACTCACCCACCTTTGTATTTTATTTTTTCCTGGGCTCTATCAAGATACCATTGCACTCCACGATTCCTCTCATCAATGAGGACACTTTTTTTTTACTCACTGATTTTATTTATCAAGCTATAATTCAGTAATGCATTATAGCTTAAAAATTAGCTATTTGACAATTAGCTCTGTGGTCTGACACCCGAGATATGCAAATAAACTAAATATGGTTGTTGTGGTCCACAGTGCCATGAGATATATGCTGATCCGGCCCATACTTTATAGACTTTATAGACTTTATTCTTTCTTACATGTGTTTAAGAAAATGTTTAAGAAAATGTCCAAACAATACTACAAATGATCAAACCACAGTTCACATGTCAGAATAGGAGCATCTTGAAGACCGAGTCTTATTGTTCATGCCCCTAAAAACAAAAGAAAACAGTTTTTTTATGTTTGATACTACACCCCATTCTTTGGCCAATGGACATTTTTTGAACAGCAACCAGCACCTTGCACTTCATTGCGAAACTGACTGGACTTTGCACACTGCACGCAAACAGCATACACCAGCTCTCACACCTCTTCATTGTGCCTCATTTTGTTTAGGACAAAAAAACTGCAAGTCATAGATCTGCTCAGCATTTTGGCATGCTTCTTATAAGGACATTCACCCGCTCTTTATCAAACATGAGACCTGAGTTTTCACCAGGGTCCTAATAATCCCTGCCTCAGAAAAGCGGGTGTGGCTGTGTACAAATTGCTCTGAACATGCACATAACTGTAAAAGGCTGTAGGTTTTTACTATACTATGCAAGTAGAAGCATGTTATGTCTTCTTTGAAAGGATGAGTTGAGTGTTTTAATTGAGTTCTGTTCTCCTTATTAAACACCCATGACCTAAACATTTTCTTTTCGGCTGACAGGGACCTACGGAGCAACATGATCAGTCACATTGAACCAGGCGCTTTCCTCGGGTTGGCATCACTCAAAAGACTGTAAGTATATTAAGGCCTTTGCAGCTTAACCAGATCTCTAAATGTGACTTCTGAAATTCTTTGTACACTCGGCATTTGCACGCAAGCTTCACAGGGATTTCTCAAACCTATTTAATACATCCCAAAGATCACAAATTCTTCAAACACACGGGGTTAAGTTTGCACTGTAATTACCGAGAAACTAATTGCTAGAAATTAAGTGACTAAAGCGGCTGATTCTATTGCTAGGTTCAAAAAGATTGCGAATTGTTACGGAGCATCTGAGCTGAATAACTTGTTTGAATTAAGATTTAGTTTTCTCTTCGCTCTTGTAGTAGCAGTCTTTAAAGGTTAATACGCTTCTATCAGTCCATTGTAACTGTAGCAGTTGTCTTACCATCCATATATTCCAAGTTTCTATACATGACTACACACCAGTTCTTGTATCTAGTGGCCATATGGGAGTACAGTCTCACACCAATCTATTTCCAACGCCTTGTTTTGCCTGGACCAGTGCCAGGAACCACAGACACCACGAAGCCCTATGTACATTCACACGCCACTAAAAAAATGACTGGAATATACTGTATGGCTTTATGTTGTAGTCTCAGGACATACTGTATTTGCTGATCATTTTGAAAAGACCCATTTGGATACAGCAGCACGTGGGAGGTCGGAAACTATAGATAATTTTGTGTGTGTGAAAGTAGGAGCATGATATGATTTGGAATAATCAGACGGTGCCAACAAAAACGGGTGCTTGGCGGCTGCAGTGGAGGAAAAGAGAAAGATCTTTGGCTCCAGCGCGTAAAACCTTCCCCCTCATCTTGTATTCATGCCACTCTCAAGTCTGAGGGGGAGGAAGTACCCCAAGTTTGTGCTGAAGTTTGAGCTGAACCTGTGCTGCACTTACACTTATGACTACTAAAATCTTAACAAATATTAGTATCGTAACTTCAAGTATAAATACTGGCAAACAATCTTTTTTATCAGAAAGATTAACAATAGAAACAATTCGATTTACAGGTAGCTCCGTGAAAATGAGCCAAGACAGGATTTTTTTCTGACCTTGAACAAAAAATTTTAAGTTTTTTTGTTTATCTTCTAATACTACCTCATCTTGATTCATTGGCACAATTCACAAGTTATTTTATTTCATATGTTTGTCATCATTAGAGCACTGCTTTAGGGGACTTTGGCTTCTCAAAAGAAAATAAATCTCTCAAGATATTATTCCACCTGTGTCACAATGTTATTGCAATTTAATCTTGCGATATCTCATGGCACAAGGTATTGTCCTCAACCTCGTAAAGACCTTTTTCTTTTTGTCGTAAGCTTGTTCTCATAACATGAATACAAGTACCTTTTCACTGCTAAAACAACTTCAATTGATATCTGACTGCAAAGTATATGTTCTTGATTGAACGGTTGCCACCACGACTCTGTAAAACAATAATTTTTCACCATAACGTTTAACAATGTACCTGAAACTGTTGCTTCTCTGTTGAGTGCTCACCATGAAAGAACTGCACCGAATGAGAGCAGATATGTAAACAATGACTAGATCCTTACTCTGAGAAAGTAAAAAAATATAGCTTTTAAAATGTAAACATTTTGATCAAGCTCACTTCACCAGAGCCAAACGAGTTAAACCTGAGTGGGAAACAAAGCAAACTATAAACATAACATCTCATTAAATAATTTCAGTGGAAAACGTTATTATTGTTTATCAATTATCATTTAATTCACAATTAAATGTTCGTGTTTATACTGCTCAAACAGCTGTGTTCTGTATATAATTTTAAAGCTATTATTTTCTTATCACAAGTAAACAACCTCTTAATTTAATCTGCTCTAACAATACGATCAAAACAGATTTGATAATAATTTATCAAGAGCATTCAACAGTGGGTTCGATCCCACCATGAGACCTTCTGCATCAACTACCACTGATGTCTGCTGTTGTCGTGTCCTTGGGCAAAACACCTGAAAAGATAACTTCAATAAATTGCTGTAGATGCAAAAGTCTAGTTTAACACTGTATAGCTTGGCTCCATGCTTCCTTCTTCCTCTCCTCTTGAAATACTGCTACGTCTTGAAAATGTATAAAACTGAAGAAACTTTAATCATGTTTTGTAAATGCGTTTTGCCAAATCATTTAAATGTGGAAATAACGTGAAACCAAGTCTGGTTCTTCAAAATACGCCAATATCCCAACGTGGTCCCCGGAAAAAAATAATGGTCCACCACTGCTCCAATCCATAGACCTATCTTAATCAAATTTCAGAGCTATGACATTACTGGGAATAATATATTTATTAGATAGATTTTTTCCAAATGGCTTTATTGATTATCTACTCAAAATAGGCGATGTCAGATGTATAACCCTTTTGACTTCCCATTCTCCAAACAGCTGAACAGCCCCTTGTAGGGATCTAATCACATTGGTCTATTTTTGCCTCTGCCTGCCTTTCTGTACACTGGACATTCGGACAACAACTGGAACTCTGCCCTCTGCACTGTTCCATTTGCTTGCGTGCCTGTGGTGGAAAGACATGTTTAAGAATAATCTTTTGTAAAGTGTTTAAGTCCTCCACCGGGCTCCTGAGATGGAAAATGGACGCAGTGATAAAAGGGATTACGGAGGTGCAGTTTTGAGATTCTTTGGACCTTGTTTTAAGTCCAGATCAACTATCACTTCAACTGTAGCATTGATTCCTGTGTGATAAAATTAAGGTTCACGTAAAGAGTTGGGCTTCCTCTCCCCCTCCCATACCTTCTCACACACAATGCTCTTGCAAATTAGATGCTAGATCTCCTTCCAAGTGGAGCCCCCACCCAGCTGGTACTGTAAAGGCCACACGTTGATAATTACGAAAAATTCTTCCTCCAGGACATTTTCCAGGTGAGGTTTTGTTTAGCTATCCTATTCCTACAGTACTGCGGGATAGCGGGGGTAACAATGTGTCATTCCAGACCGCCTCTAGTTGCCTCGCTTTGCACTTTGAAACGATTAGCTCATTCAGGAAAGGCTATCATTTACAGCTTTTATTACGGTATTTTGACTGAAATGGACACCCTGCGACTTTTAATTAAGTTGAACATTTTTTATTAACATCCAGGGCTGTATCGAGAAATTAAAACAAGATTAGCTATGAATTTGAAAACTGCTGATGTGAGAGAGCGGCGCAACAGACTTGTCCAAGAGCCTCAAGTGGATATGTGAAACTCTTAACTAAATGTTTGCGCTTGGGGTAGAATTCGCAGCGAGTCTTTCCATTTAAGGCCCAAAACCGTCTGTGATTTGTCATGAAACGGCGAGAGAGCGTCTGGAGACTTGATCTAATGTTTACCAAAGCCGTTGTGTCAGAGCTTACAGACAGAAGCAGCACTTAAACTTCTGAAAGCGAAATAGAGTGGATTAATCTCTTCTTGTTATGTTGCACAAGTGTTTGAAGTACAGCGTCCCCAGAGGCCCACGTATTTGCCAAAAATCACCTTGAAAGCAGATTTTGGGGCCCTTGTCCCAAATTGTCTCTTGTCAAACATTCAAAAATATGTCTGATATTCATTTTCTCACAATAAAACATGAGTAATAAAAAACATGTGTGTTACAGAGACTTGTCCAACAACAGTATTGGATGTCTAAACGTGGATATTTTTAAAGGACTCACCAACTTACTGAAACTGTGAGTAAAACCTGTTTCAGTCTTTGTTCAATGTCTTTTTGTTGACTTTATTTAATTGTATAGTCATATATACAATCTGATTATTACTATTTTAAACTTTTTAGAATGATCAATTTTATTTGTTTTTATTTTTTCTGCTTCTGCACACCTGAATTTGTCCTACGGGGATCAATTAAGTATCTATCTGTCATGAGATTTAATTTGCCTAATATGTCACCTTTTTAAGAAATGACAGTCCATGCGGCACATTCCCTCTTTTATGTTGACACGTTTATCATTTATCATAACTATAACACCATTCATAGCAAGTAATGTGTTAAAAAGTAAAAAATACATAATTATTACTTATCTATACAAATTGAAATGAGTAAATGTAGCTGGACACCAATATACAGAAGGGTGTGTACGGTTTCTCCAAGTGAAGTAGAATAAGAACGTTTATATCCACTTTTTATTTCTCCAGGAATCTTTCAGGGAACATGTTTTCATCGCTGGCTCAGGGGACCTTTGACAGCCTCTTGTCTTTGAAGTCATTGTAAGTTTTTTTGAGCCGTCGTTCTGAGAGCTGATATCACCCGTGCGGAATGATGAAGTCACCGTGTTCACCCGGTTTTTTTTTCTCATCCCCCACCCCCCTACCCCACAACTTCTATTACTTCTCAGGGAGTTTCAGACGCCGTACCTGCTGTGTGACTGCAACCTTTCATGGCTGCTGCGCTGGATCAAGGACCGAAACATTGGCGTCAAAAACACCAAGTGCTCATATCCGCAGTCGCTCCAGGGGGAAAGTGTCCCTCTCCTCAGCCCAGAGCTCCTCACGTGTGGTAGGGAAATCTACACAAATAGAACACATACTTCGGGCCTCATTTATCAAACCTACAAACTTTTCAAATCACGTTCCAAACCCATACACCAGTAGCATTTGAGTTTGGAGGATTTGGAATGGTAGGTAGTGGGATTCAAATGCATCAAACCTCTAAAACCACTTTTGTGTTTGTACATTTTGGGGAGAAAATTAGATCATGAAAAGATATCGTAGGTTCTTGTGTTTAAAAGATATCGTAGGTTCATGTGTTTTAAAAGATATCGTAGGTTCATGTGTTTTAAAAGATATCATAGGTTCATGTGTTTTAAAAGACATCGTAGGTTCATGTGTTTAAAAGATATCATAGGTTCATGTGTTTTAAAAGATATCGTAGGTTCATGTGTTTAAAAGATATCATAGGTTAATGTGTTTTAAAAGATATTGTAGGTTCATGTGTTTTAAAATATATCGTAGGTTCATGTGTTTTAAAAGATATCGTAGGTTCATGTGTTTAAAAGATATCGTAGGTTCATGTGTTTTTGTCATGTAAATAAGGTCTCCTTCCAAGTAGCTCCCCAAAAGATGTAGAGATTTTAGTCATTGCAAATATGTTGTCAATATAAGAAATGGATGTTATGCCTAAAGCTATTGTAAATACTTAACTCTATGCGCTAATTTATGCGTGATAGATTGGTTACAGTTGGATACCTCAAAGACAATCCAAGTCACCATTTTAGAAAATTTAGTATATTACTTGCTATATGCCATTTTTTCCTGAAAAAGTAGCTCCTCTTGGGAAAATGTTTTGGGATTTCACCATACAATTATGTTTTTGCTTCCTTTCTTTCCATATAGTAAAGTTGCCTACACTAAAATATTTGCACCTAACACAACATAATAACAATTGAGACAACAATGCAAGATCGAACTAGTCTCCCGTGTTATTATCTGATACCATTATCTTACATTGCTCTTTCTTGTTTGCTCGATCCCACAAGTGACCATTAACTTGGACTTGAACAAACATCCATCCATTTTCTTCCCCTTAATCCATTTCTGGGTCGGGGGGGTGGAAGTCTGAGTTGCACCCAGTACACAAAGCACCAGCCCCTCACTGATCCTCCTGCAGGTGGTGAGTCCACAGGAACTGAGATCTTTCAGCGGGGGGATTCAGGCAAAGTGGGGTTAAGTGTCTTACCCAAGGACACAACAACAGCAGTCATCAGTGGGAGTCGTGAAGTAGGTCTTATGATGCTCTACTAACTGAGCTACTGTCGCCCCCTTGAACAATCATGATACACAAAATCGTTTTGTATTGGTCTAAAGTTTCTTCTTGACTCAGTTTGATCCATTCTGGTAAAACTACTGCACCGTTTAGCTGTGACACAGATTGTGTTATAAGTCGTGCTGTGTCTTTAATGTTCCTGCTGGTATCAGTGTCACAGCGCCTGTGTTTGGGAGCAGGGGCTTGTGCAATGACACAACAGATAAGAAAAGGGTCCGCTCAGACCAGACCAGACAAGTGTTTGTACTTCCTCACGTCTTATCAGCCTCGTACTCGTCACACCACGGGATTATGAAACGCACACAGCAGGAATAAATGGCCCTCAAATACAAGGCTTAGCTGCTCTGTTTACAAATATGCAATCTCAATGTTCTTTGCTATAAACGTAACCATAAATTAAATAATAGTGATGTTTATATACACAATATATGTTCTTGGGGATTGAACCATATTCTCTCACGGTCATTGATTGGACCAATAATCCTGGAGTTGTCAATAACACGTATTTTAAAGCATGTAATATCCATGTATTATCAACAAGTGTGTTCAAGTTTGCCAATTTCTGTGTCAGGAGGGACACAGGCACTAAAGATATTATAATTATGCATATTAGCCTATTTTGAGCTGTCCACAGCCCAACTGCACGGCACTAGGGAGAGAACCTTTGCTATGTGGGTCGACTCAATGTTTTTAGTAATGCGCCTTTTCAGGTATACAATCATATATGAGTAGTTTTGAGTGGGGTTTGTTTTTGCCCTGGACTTGTGTGTTTGTGAGTTTGTTTGTTTGGAGTTTCCCACAAACGATTTCCCAAATTTCTCACATCGTTCTCTTTTTATTTATTTCTGATATTTATTTTGGTTGTCTATAAATCAATCTAGAAATATGATTTTATTTACAAAACATTCATTCCTCCATCTCTTCCACATTTTTGTCTTTTACACATAAAACTTTGCAAACAAAGTGTGTGCATCTATGGGGTTAAAAAAAACTATATTCATTAAGTTAAAAACAATGTGACAGACTGTTACACTTGACTAGGGAAAAATACAGGCACACACCGCCGTCCCTGGGTCGGTTCTTTCTCCAAATGAAGGGAATTCATCTTGTTTACACGTAATGGTCACGCGGTTGAGGCTTGGCGAGCTGCACCATGTGGAACCTTGGCCTAAAGGAATCATTGATGAGATTTGTCTGCCATAATTGACACTAATGGTGTTCCCAGTCCAGTCACTTCTGCAGCTATCACTACCACGACCACCACTCCCACTACGCACCACATGCTCCGCAGCCATCCCATTGTGTCACATACCTCATTTAATCTGGTCCAATGGCAGTGACCACATTCCTGTTGCTTTTCCTCAGATGCCCTGGAGCTGCCCTCCTTCGAGCTCACCCCGTCCCATCAGCAGGTGGTCTTCCAGGGGGACAGCCTGCCGTTCCAGTGCCAGGCCTCGTTTGTGGCGGAGGACATGCAAGTGCTTTGGTACCAGAACGGACAAATGGTCAAACCGGACGCCGCGCAGGGAATCTTCATCGAGAAACGCATGGTCCAGAACTGTTCGCTCATAGCAAGGTTTGCTCAATGACAATATACTGATCAAGTGTATACAACGGAAGCTTTGCAGATTGCATTGATACGTTTTCTTGTTTTTGCTTTTATAATTTTTTGTAAAATATAATATCCTATCTTTATTTTCAAGTAAAGATAAGAATAGGTAAACAAACAAACACAAGTCCACAACGAAAAGGAGACCAAATATAACATAATATGAGCCTCATTGATACATATATATCTGAATCTCTTCAGAGTCAGAACAACCTAATCATGTGCCTTAATTTCAAATATTGAATTACCCAATAGGTGCTCTCTGGGGATTAGAAAGCATCAATATATCAAAGCGTTTTACTATTCTCTTATTTGCATGAAAGGTACTATTAAAGCATTGTAAGACATCATTGAGGCTTTATTGAACAAAAAGTAAACATGTTATTGCCATGACTTGCCTAGAATGACAGTTTCCTTCCTCCACCAGTGCCTTGACCATTTCGAACATCCAGCCCGGCTTCAAAGGGGACTGGGAGTGTCGAGTGTGGACAAGCAGGGGCAACACCACCCGAACTGTCCACATTGTGGTTCTAGAAACTACTGCCAAATACTGCACGCCTGAACGCATCTCCAACAACAGGGGAGACTTTAGGTGAGTGAAATGTCTGCTCTTATGTTGCTTACTTTGACAACAGCTGACCCACACCTCGCTCTGTGTATCTACCTTGTATCCACTTCCCTCTTGTGGTTGAATTGTGTAATTGCACATAGTACTGCTACTAAGAAGTGTGGGTCTTTAATTGCCACGTAAGAAGAGTTGCACTTTTCAATAAAACTAAGTTAAGATTGATATATTTAAAATGTGATCAATTTACCACAGGGTCCCTTGGTTTTTAGTGTTGACATTTATATTGTTTCTCTCTGGTCGGATAATGTGGTGCAGATATGACATAGGGAGAGGTACAGATGATGAGTGAGAAACCTTCCTGTGCTTTGATAGGGAGAGGTAATAACTGTAGCAACCACAACATAAACTAAGCAGTTAATTAAATCAATAATAATCAGCCCACTCATCGATAATCAAACTAATTACATTCCTAGAAAAAATATATTATTGTAATGAAGGTTTTAATGATTAGGTAATTTATTTTCCTGTATGTCAAGACGATTGATTCTGATCTCATTCCATTTTAGAAGTCAGCATGACAACATCTTTTTGTCACAAACTGAAACTGGACTGTTGTAAAACTGCTATAATGTTTAACCAGCTGCTCTTTTCCATCTAGAAGAGTAATAACTTGTGTAATTTTCTCAGGTGGCCTCGCACTCCGGCTGGGATCAGAGCGTACCTCCCATGTAGCCGACTGTCTTCCACGTACAGCACTTCTGAGGACCAGCGAGCCTGGCGTTACTGCAGCAGAAACGGACAGTGGGCAGAGGACGACTACTCGCAATGCCAATTTCAAAAAGATGTCACAAGATTTCTATATGTCTTGAAACAGGTGTGTGCCAAACAAAGACGTGTTTTCATATGATAACGTTTTATTTTCAAGTTTGGAACTGTTTTAACATTGTGCCCTCTTCAAAAACCTACTTGTTCTTATTTGTTTTTTGTTTCAAGATCACTCTCAATGAAAGCACTGTGGTCCCAAATGCACAAACTCTGTTGGTTTACACTGTGGAGGCGGCCAACTTTTCAGACAAAATGGACATAATCTTTATCGCCGAGATGATTGAGAAGATTGGGAAATTTGTTGAGAAATTTAAAGATGTAAGTAGTTTACCGGTAATCTCTAAATGAACAAATTAGATAAAAGAAGGAAGGAAGGAAAGAACTTGCATGTACATAAACCACTGCCTCATCATTCTGTCAAGTCTTTTATAAGTTTTTAAAGAGCACAAGGACATAGTCTCAACTCAGCTTCAACTTAAAACTATTAGGTTCTTCGATACCAGACAATATTAGGTTAGCGGTGTTATTATCGTGGCACATTTATCAACCGTACAAGCTATAGTCGCTGCAGCAGAAAACACAGTTAACATAACCAAATGTAAACAAACAAAAAGTGAAAATTGTTAATCAAATAAATATTTAGATATTAAGTTAATTTAGGCTGTTGATTAACGTTTTAAATAAATGTATTTCTTTTAGTATTTCAATTACAATTAAGAACGTAACATTTCTTTTTTTTATCACTGTTTAATGTAAAAATGTATCTATATTTTAACAATAAAGATATTACCTGTTTATGCACGGCTAAAGTAAATTCAAAACTTTATTCTGCTTTATATATGTGCAACCACAACAGAAACAATGCCACAACAGACACATGTTTCTCTAAATGTAGAAAGTAAATTCAATGCTTTCCTAAATCAAAGTAGTGATTACTTTGTCTGACTCTCCTTGGCTCTCGTCTGCAGCTGGGGGAGGTGATGCTGAGTATGGCCAGTAACCTGATGCTGGCAGATGAAAAGGTTTTGTGGATGGCTCAGCGTGACGCCGAGGCCTGCTCCCGCATCATCGTCTGCATCCAGAAGATCGCAGTCTCTCGTCTGGCCGCAGCTCAAGCTTTCCCACTCGTAAGCAACAAATCATCATTTTAAGATGTTTTATTTTGAATGGAATACTAGTGTGTTGCAAGCAGGATGGGTCTTTGTATGAAAACCCCCGTATGCATCTTTCTGGCAAAAAGTTGTATCCTATTTCTTATAATGTAGAACAAATCTGGGAGGTTCTTTAGTGGTTTTAATGTTCCATATCTAAGGCAAGGCAAGTTTATTTGTATAGCACAATTCATACACTTTGAGTGCACTTTGTTCAGCACTCAAAGTGCTGAACAAAACAAGAAAGCATCAAAATCATAAATAATCACAGAACATTAAAAAGAAAGATAAAAATATAAAATCCCTCAGTTGTATGCACAGCTAAACAGAACCGTTTTTAACCTGGTTTTAAACATTGTCAGAGAGGAGGCCTGTCTCACATCTTCAGCGAGATTATTCCAGATTTTTGCAGCATGAATCTGAAAAGCGGCCTCCCCATGTTTAGTTCTGACTCTGGGCACTAACAGGAGTCCAGTCCCTGTGCTCCTCAGAGTCCGGGCTGGTTCATATGGGACTAACATGTCACTAATATATTTTGGTGCGAGGCCATGGAGAGACTTGTAACAAGCAGAGCTGTTTTAAAGTCTATTCTCTGAGCCACAGGAAGCCAGTGCAGAGACCTGAGGACTGGACTAATGTGGTCGTACTTCCTGGTTCTAGTCAGGACTCGAGCTGCTGCATTTTGAATGTACTGCAGCTGTTTTACAGCCTGTTTGGACAGACCTGTGAGCAGGCCATTGCAGTAGTCTAACCTACTGGAGACAAATGCATGGATAAGAACCTCCAAGTCTGCTTTAGACACTATGTTTTTGATCCTGGCAATGTTTTTTAGGTGGTAAAAAGCTGCTGATGTCTATTGCAATTTTATTACTGCTCTGATCCTTTTCTAGTATGCAATTTAAAGCTTAAAAAGGCTTTAAAAAATTAACTATGCCATAAAATCCCTTTTACTAGTTTAACATGCATGCATTCTGTCACATCTTTAGATCAGCTTTTTAAGATGGAAAATTATAAGTTAGTTGTGAGCTCAAAGCATCAATTATTTGTATACAATAGGTAATGGGTTTTCTTATTAGATGAAGACGGCATGGTGTGTTCTGATTCGTTCACTAAATGTTACTTTCACAAGACTTGGTACTCATAGTAAACACGATTTATACTTAAACCATTGTGAATCTTCTATTTAGGATTTGTTTTTAAAGTTTTTGTGAATTTTGTTTTTATAAAGTATTGAAAGTCATTTGAATATGCTTTACAGACCTCTCCAAATATAGCGATGGAGGCTCACACTGTACGACGGAAGGAGTGGAACGGCATGACCTGCATGCTGTTCCAGAGGCCGAGCCCTGAACGCACCCCGGGCCAGGACCGCCAGCTCACCTTCAAATGTAATACCACCAGCTCGTTTTCCAGCATCCTCTACAAGGTGAGAAAAATTTCCTCAACACCTTACTTTAACAGAAGGATTCTTAAATTAGTCACACAACTATTTATTTTTAAACAATTTGCAGCAGTCCAACCTGAGTGGAGTTTGATTAGGTTTCCTCCAGGTGCGCCAGTTTCTCCTATCACTAAAAACATTCTCCAGCTTCAGTAGTCAATCAATCAATCGATCAAAGTTTATTTGTAGAGCGCCTTTCATACACAGGGCAACACAAAGCGCTTCACAGTCCACATCACCCAACGCACAAATCATCACATAAAACAAACACCAGAATCACAATTAAAACATTAAAATCACACAAAAAATTAAAACCATTAAAATTTTAAAATTACTCAAGGAATTAAAAAGTAAATAAATAACCACAGTGCATTAAAGATGGAGATAAAATCCTTCAGTTGTACGCACAGGCAAACAGAACAGTCTTTAACCTGGATTTGAACACTGTCAGAGTAGACGCCTCTCACATTTTCAGGGCGGCTGTTCCAGATTTTAGCTGCATGGATCTGAAATGCAGCCTCCCCATGTTTAGTTCTCACTCTGGGCACCAGCAGGAGGCCAGTCCCTGTGCTCCTCAGAGTCCGGCTCAGTTCATATGGTACTAACATGCCACCAATGTAGTCCTGAAAGTAGTCCACTACAATGACCACTACAGGTTGCCCTTGTCGCTTAAGTAGAGGACAAATTTCCCGACAGAAACGATATATTTTAACGCTACTTGGATTGCTTCTTCAAATCCTCATTATCAATTGAATCATTAATTCACCTAAATTTCTCGCACAAGCATTCTGTCTGAATGCGTACACCATGGCGAAACTTTAGACTATGTGGTCATGGACAAAGCTGTTTTCTGCCTTTTATTTTAAACCTTTTGTTGTTTATTGCCTCTCATCAAGAATTTCTCCCTATTGTCACCCTACAGCATATACTTTATAAATAAACTTGACTGTCACCTTGTGTATATAAAGTGTAGTTTGCATGTTCTCCCCGTGAATGCATCGGTTTCCCCTCGATGCTCCGATTCAATAGCCCCCATCAAATCCCCCACCACCCCACTTTCACCCCCTGTCTGGAACCAGGACTTGTCTGAAAAAGAGATCTCAGTGGGACTTTTTCTAGTTAGATAAAAGTCAATAAAACTATTTGAGGGCAAAAATGAGCGGAAATAATGCATAAACGTCTTTTTAGTTAAATTCACTGATTGTCTTGTCTCTCTACAGAACACAGTCATAGAGGCTTCCCTGCAACTTCCTCATACACTACTGGATCAGGCCGCTCCCCCAGTGCAGCCGGAGGACACCGTTTACAGGCTCTATCTGCTGGGGTTCCGGAATGGTAAATTCTTCCCGTCCACTGGAAACTCGTCTCAACTCGCCGACAGCGGAAAGAGGAGGACTGTGACCACCCCTGTCATCATGGCCGTGATTGGTGAGCCTTTCCCCTAAAGCTCATTCGAAGTTTTAATGTCTGTAATGTCAACTGTTTTCTTTTGAGAAGGCCTTTTTATGCAGAAGTTTAGTGTTAGAATTATAGTGAGAAGGATTGGCACAAATATTCTCTTCAGCAAAGTAGTTCACAGTATATAATACATCTCCATTCAGATTAATTTCATATGTTACCAGTTTTATTAAAACAAAAAATCTACTGTGAAGACAATAGACAAATACAATTGGTCATATTCTCCAATGCCGTAACTCGGTTTGACCACATTGTCCTTGTCAAATAAATGAATACATAAAAATAAGTTGACGTGCCATAATCAGCCAGATAAAAACATTCTGGTTCACTTTCTTGAGTGTTGGCTTGAGTTCAATGATCACAATGATTATGATTATTTGAATTGATATATGAATCATACATTTTGTAGAATACATTCTATTTTCCAACAATTTTAATGAATTAAAATATCTTAACATAATAACAAATATCTTTATTGTCTGTTATCGTGTCCTTGGCTACATTGTCTATAGTGAATCCCCTGCTTGTGTCAGTCTGCCCCAGGGCATCTGTGGCTATGACATTGTGATACACCTTGTGACTCTCTCTGTGAAAAGCACGTTTAAAGTAAACTTGCTTGATTATTTATTTATTCATTAGTTAAATATATTAACCGCATAAGGAAAGCTTTTTGCGTTTGTTATTTTGTCTTTATAGAACTCTTATTTGTTTTGGTTTGTTTCTAGCCGGTGCTTCCCTCCGAAACTTGCGCACTCCTGTGAACGTCACTCTGAGGCGTCTTGCCCGGGGGTCGGATCCGGTCCCTGCCCAGTGGAACTACAGCGAGGGGGGAGGCGTGGGCGGCTGGCAGAGCGATGGCTGCAGGATACTGGGACATCACGATAACTTCACCACCATCTCCTGCAACTCGCTCGGCAACTACGGCCTGTTGATGGTAAGGTTGAATCCAGACTCTTACTCTTAGGCACACCATCATCCATGACTTCCCTCACCTCTCCTTCTGAAGCTCATCGAAAACACACTAAATATAAGCTTTCCTTCCCATTAATAATGCATGTTGGTTGTTTCAAAGTTTGTGCCCAAAATTAAAATGTTGAACCACATTTTAACTATCTTAATTGTATTACATTGTTTTGAATCTTTTTGATCTTTTGCATGAGTTTAATAAAGAGCCTTGTCTGTCAATGTTTGACTCTTTGGACTTTGGTGACAAATAACAATTGGTGGTTGACTAAATACTTTTTTTCCTCACTCTATTACATGTGATGGTAATTTATTGCCCAAATGAGAGGGTGAGGCTCAAATTTCCAAAATAATCAAATGGTGATGGATGTTTTTTAGATCACGTAAAACTGCATTGTCTGATAGATTTAAATGTATAACAGTAAAGATATACTTTCTTAACTAAACCACTACTTTGAAAAACTTTCGGGGAGGGTGTATAATAAGTGTTCTTTTCTCCTGCAAATCATCTTTTGTCATTGAATAAAGTTTAAATAAGTATTCAAAAATGTTTCTTAATAACATTGTATTACATTAAATAATATAATTATACAAGCAAATAATAATTTAACTGAAAGGCTTCATACGGGTTAATTTTAAAATGTTTAAATTTGCTTTGGTAATATTGTTGTCCACCGCTCTTTTTCTAGCTTCATCCTTGAAATGTCAATGCTTCAATTTTGGTCTAATATAATCAATCCTTTTTCAAATGGACTTTTGCCGGAGAAGTTTCAGAATAACATCCCAAGTTATTCCATATTTTTTCCAGGACCTTAACAAGATGGATTATTCTACTCCCAGCATCCAGCTGCACCCGGTCAGCTACGCCACATCGGTCATCCTCCTGCTCTGCCTGCTCACCATCATAATCAGCTACATCTACCATCACAAGTAAGTCATCTTCATCAGTTCATCTTCCTCCTTGTAGTTTTTTTTTTAGTTTTTGACCCTGTTACACAACTTCTCCCTCTTTAAAAAACGATTTAGACCTATTTTGTTTGCTATTTGTTTGCTGATCTGTAGTAGTAATCTCTGCAACAAACGTGTCCTGCTCTGTTTGTCTCAATGCTAATTTCTCTTACATGTTTTGCTAAAATACAGGACTATGACATCCTGGTGAGACCTGCTTTCTTTTTTCTAAAACAGAAACATACAGTACATGTCTTAATTTTAATTGCCCGATGTTTTGGACAATGACATTTTTTTTTTTCCTATAAAAGCAGAGAAGAGTGTGCTTTACTATTTCCTGTACTTTACCCTGATATGGTGGTATTTTACTTACTGTCTTTTCTCTATCTAATATACACGTTTATCCATTTATTAACTACATTCTAATACACCAACAATATCTAAAATAATGGACATTTTCTGTTATTTCATGTATTTTTCAGGACCGTTCGAGTGAGCAAAAAATCTTGGCATATGCTGGTCAACCTCTGCCTGCACATTGCTCTCACCTGCGGCGTTTTCATCGGAGGAATCAACCAGACAGCCAACGCCTCTGTCTGTCAGGCGGTGAGTTTCATGCCTTCAGCACCAGAGTCCAACTGAGAAATGAAGTGAGATTTGGAAGGGAAACTTTTTGGAGTTGCCTTCGGCTAGACTCCTATAAACGTCAGAAATTCAGTTGCAGATGCACAAAATGATACTTCAAGTCTCCCCCATGGTTTGAGGCAGTGCAGTTTTAATGATGAGAAGAGCAATTTATGAGAATGTGTTCCCTTATTGCCATTTTCCAGAGAATATTTTTTGCCAATATAGGATTGTCTAAGGACAGTGATAATTCTGTGTCAGGACATTCTCCATTCAAACAATATTGTTGTGTACAGAGTCAACTGCTCTTGTGATATAGGGATTTTCAATAATAAATCTAATAAATCAACTCAGTGAAGTTATTGAGTTGCTGGTTTTGCGCTCACACACAAATGGGACTGATTTTAAATGACACTAAAGACCACTAAACATAACCCTGGAGAGAAAAAATATCTAATTTATATTCTCTCAAAAAAATGGCCAAGAAGTCATTCATTCTGCCCAAGTATGTAAACGTTTGTGCACAACTGTACATGACTAAATATTCGTCACAATCTTCGCTTTCAGGTTGGCATCTTGCTGCACTATTCGACCCTGGCCACAGCTCTGTGGGTGGGAGTGACCGCGCGTAACATCTACAAACAAGTGACGCGGAAAGCTAAGCGCTACGAAGAGCTGGACGAGCCGCCGCCGCCGCCCAGACCCATGCTGAGGTACTGGGCTTACTGTAGCACCTTTGGCTTTTCTGAAGAGATTTGCTCCAATATATTTTCTCAAAAATGTCATGCCAAATATTTGCAGACTTACAAATCTTGGCAGTGTTTTTTGTCTTCAACAAATTAGCAACTTAAAAAGTACATTATTCAGCCTTGATATATTGTTTATTCATTCATTTGGAACCTGCACAGTGAAAATTTCTCATAAATCAACATGACAAGTACATGCTCACAGTTGTGCTATATCTGGGGTTTCCTTTCTCTAGCTTGGGAGCTGCCATTAGCTCCTTCCAACAGCTCCCCAACATATTTCAAAATTACAACTTAACTGCCAAATATGTGTAACTTAAAAACAAAAAATTTGCATTTGCACTAGTTTTACATTAGTTTGCTTATTCATTGTATTAGTTTTAGTCAATCTTAAACGTTGTCTACTAAGAATGATTGATGCCAGTACCCTATTAAAGGCTATGTCATATATCAACAACATTTATTTTGAGGCTAAGGAGGAGTAGTTGTGTCTTGCCCCAAAAAAACCTCTCCAAAAGAAAAAAAGATTGGAGCTCCCTGCACTGCATTGATAGATTTTTTTAGAATTGTTTTGTACTAATACGTTGCCTCCACAGGGTGTCAGTGTAGCGCACCATGCCTGAACCAAATATTGGAGTGTCCTCTAACAAATGGTTTTCATTCCTCTAAAGGTTCTACCTGATTGGTGGAGGGATTCCTATCATTGTCTGTGGGATAACTGCAGCAGCTAACATCAAAAACTATGGGAGCCGGTCAAACGCCCCCTAGTAAGTACCACACTCGTAATTAAACACTTGAGAGTTCCTTAGCCTCAGGGGGATGCTCACAGAGGTTTCACATTCATTCTCTTTTAAAGCCAGACAGAATTATCTTGGCAGGTTCAGTAAGTAAAGCATAAAGTGTGTTGATGGGGTATGGATGTTTCCTAAGGGGACAGATACAAGACTTTTTATCAGACTGTGGCAGCTGTTCACATTCTACAACACTGCGCTCTTAATTGAGAAATCTTAGAAGTCCTTGGAGTGTGATTTGTTTGTTGGTGTGTCATTTATTTCCTTCTATTAAAAGCAGTGAAATGTTAATCTGTTCAATTACATTATAAATGTTGTTTTTGTTGAATTCAATTAAAACATTTTAAATCGAAAATCAGTTAACATGTTTCAAACTAAGCTATGCTCATTCTCAAAATCAATATCATGTAAAAAGTTGTGAGTAAGTAAGTAAGAAGGTAGGTAGGTAGTTGGGTGGGTAAGTAAGAAGGTAGGTAGGTAAGAAGGTAAGAAGGTAGGTAAGTAAGAAGGTAGGTAAGAAGGTAAGTAAGTTAGTTAGATCAAGTAAACTTGCTTTCATAGAACGGGGCACTGTATTTCATCAAAACAACACAGTTTAAAATGTACCAACACATGTCTGTTGGTCAGTCTGGATGTCCTTCTCTCTGAGGGAAGATGGGGAAGATAACAGACCTATTTTTTCCAACTGTAATGTTTCCTTCTGTCCTGTAGTTGCTGGATGGCGTGGGAGCCGAGCATTGGTGCCTTCTACGGCCCCGCGGGTTTCATCGTCTTCGTGGACTGCATGTACTTCCTGAGCATCCTGCTGCAGCTGCGCCGTCACCCCGAGCGGCGCTACGAGTTCAAGGAGCTGACAGAGGAGCAGCAGCATCTCCATCCTGACTCCAACCCAGACGGAAGCCCCTCCACACACCCACTCACTCTGCAGCTACAAGCCCACAACGGCTCACCCTCCCCTGGCCACGCCCCCCACTCTGTTCCTATGTCCGCCCTGGAGAACGAGTACACTTTCGCCGTTCAGTTACTGGGTACAGCCAGTGCACTGGGTTTATATGGCGCACTTTGGGTGTTCGGAGCCCTCTCTGTGTCACAGGACTACCCCTTCGACTTGGCCTTCACCTGTTTGTACGGAGTCGCAGCTTTGGCTTTAGCCGCGTTCATGACCGGCCACCACTGCGTCAACCGGCAGGACATGAGGCGCTACTGGTCGCAGGTCTGTTGTTCCGGGAGACGGACATATTCTGCTCAAGAGGACGCACTTCTGTCCACGCCGGGGGAAACGGTATCGGCAGCAGGCGGAGCGGTGCACAAAGCAGACGGCGAGTCCGCCAAATGTGGACACAGCAGCGCCGACTCGTCCCATACGAACAAAACCGCCCACAGCATGCGCAACTCCGGACACGGCAGCAAACTGACAAATTTACAAGTAGAAGCGGCACAGTGTAAGTTAGCATCCCCTCCTGTCGCGGCAAACGGAGCGGCCATTATGGACAACAGCCTCACCGAACACTCGATAGACAACGAGATCAAAATAAACATGCACGTGTCGCCAGTTGAGGTGCAATTTCAACCTATGAACAACATCAACCCGATTCCGCCCGCGAACGGTCACGCCAGCAGACATCACAAAAATCGGGCACGTACGCACAGGGCGAGTCGGCTAACAGTGCTGCGGGAGTACGCATACGACGTGCCGACCAGTGTCGACGGCAGCGTGCAGAGTGCCCCAAACAAGAGACATTATTACGACATGGCCGCGCGCAACCACCGGCGAGCCGCATACATGGCGTACAGGGAGCGGCACATGCAGCAGGACAGTAGCGACAGTGCGAGCCTCCCACGCCGCTCACGGTACGCAGATAAGGGCGGAGGGAGCACGCTGCCCAACGGCACCATAAAAACTGTCGAGGCTGTAATGTCTAGCTCCAGTATAGACGCCGGGAAGCAGAGCAACGGCAAAGAGTTAGAGAGCCAATCAAAGTCGTACGGCCTCAATCTCGTAACTCAAAACGGTATTATCAAAGACAATGGCCAAGCAGTGCCTTTGATCCACACTGACACTACAGCCAGCATCAAGACTGGTTTGTGGAAACACGAAACTACTGTGTAGCAACTGTTTCCTCTCTAAGGATGTTATAAATGCTTCATCACTGTGAAAAAAGTGTATACAATCAAAATAATGACTTTAAGCAGCTAGCCAAATTACTGCCACTGTTCTGTAGATATGTTTTGTATTGTAAATGGTTTTATTTTTATAACTTTTATCCAACCATTTTATACAAAGCGAGTTGAACACAGTTGCATGGTTTGACCTTGAAATAGTTTATATTATTATGGGGCTGTTTTCCATTCTCTAGTTTTGTCCCAATATTAAAACTCATGTTTGTAAAGTGTGTCATGCTTCTCTTGATTTCTATTTTGGGATTAGTCGGAATTAATTTGTGGCAATCCCCAGTTTTGCCTTTTTCTTGATGCACCCTGTCACATATTCCTCACGTTCCTCATGTGAGCTGTGCACTGATGTGGATCGGATACTTGATCTATCTATAAACACAAACACACTTTAATAATCAGTGACCTTGAATAGTACTGCCCAGGGTCACTCATAATCATCCTTGCAATCAAAACTAAATGGTGCTTATGATTCTTAACACCAAAAATTGACATACTGACTAAAGTAATTTTTTGAACAGATTCAGGCCCATAAGTGTGACAGGTGAAACTGAAATTATAACATTGTTCAAAATTCAACTTATATTGTGAAACTAATAAATTACCAACTCGGCACACTCAATAAAGCCTTTTATTGGTTATAATTTTAGTTGGCTCACAGCTTGTAAAAACCCCAAATAAAACATCTCAGAAATATTTAGAAAATGGACTGTGAGCCATAATTACCCGTCACTTTGAATGTACTTTGCTTTATTTCACATTTTAAGATGAAATATAGAAATAAATTAACTTCTGAACAATATTTAAGTTTTCCGAGTTCCACCTGTTAAGAGCTATAATTGTTCTTTATGGATATTGCTGACAATCTACATGCTTCACTGTCATATATCATGTTTTCAAGCCAAAGCAACTTGAAAACATGATATATGACAGTGAAGCATTAAGATTGCTCTACTATGGCTCTACTTTTATCCCTCATAAAGTAATGTTCGAAAAAGTACTTTAGCTGACAATCAATGACAAGCCAGTAATTGGGTTTGTGTTGACCTTTTTGCCTTTTGGTTTTTTTCCCCACGGTAAAACCAACCTCTAATTGCCAGCTCCTGTGGTCCCAAAGGGCTTTCCCCTGTATGCTCTATGTGAGTTTGAGGAGTGCCCTGGTGCAGTGCAGTACAGTACAGGACAGTTGGGGCTGATTCAATGGACCCCAACCTCAGAATCTTCCATCAGAAAACATGCAGAGACTTTCTACTGTTCTAAAGTTTTTATGAAAAGTACATTTTGTGTATGAGTAAAATACAGGCTGCATTCACACTTTCATATTTAATTTATGGTAAAACTATCTATTCAATGTACATTGGTTCACTAGCCATAAATATTAGTGACGGCTATGCAGTTTGACCAATAAATGCAAACCTCAAACTCTGTTATCTATCATATTACAACTTAAATAGCTTACAAATTGCAATATAAATACGTCACACTACCCTGAAAAATATGTCTCCTACCATATGAGTACATGACAAAAACATGTACTCATATGGCAAGAGTCACTATATGAGAAGAAGTGACAGCTTTATCCTTGTTCATAATTTCAAATCTACTATGAATATTAGATTTTTCGCAACAATGTACTGGCGACAACTCCTGTACTGGCGACCCCACTCCCATCTCTGTGTGGAGTGAGTGGACAAATGCCCAAAAAATAACACTTGTAAACCGCTTTGTGACTCTGGTCTGTGAAAGGCGGTATATAAATAAAGATTACTTACTTCCCCGACCTCCGGGAGTACGGGGTCCGGGGTCCTCTGCTGAGGGCCGTCCGGTCCCTGTATGACCGGAGTCAGAGCTGTGTCCGCATTGCCGGCAGTAAGTCAGACCTGTTCCCGGTGAATGTTGGCCTCCGCCAAGGCTGCCCTTTGTCACCGGTTCTGTTCACTGTATTTATGGACAGAATTTCTAGGCGCAGCCAGGGGTCGGAGGGGGTCCGGTTCGGGAACCACAGGATTTCATCTCTACTTTTTGCGGATGATGTCGTCCTGTTGGCTCCAACGAACCAGGACCTGCAGCATGCACTGGGACGGTTTGCAGCCGAGTGCGAAGCGGCTGGGATGAGAATCAGCACCTCCAAATCCGAGGCCATGGTGCTCGACCGGAAAAAGGTGCCTTGCCTTCTCCAGGTGGGTGGAGAGGTCCTTCCTCAAGTGGAGGAGTTCAAGTATCTCGGGGTCTTGTTCACGAGTGAGGGAAGGATGGAGCGTGAGATTGACAGGCGGATCGGTGCAGCGTGCGCAGTGATGCAGTCGCTGTATCGGACCGTTGTGGTAAAGAGGGAGCTGAGCCGAAAGGCAAAGCTCTCAATTTACCGGTCAATCTTCGTTTCCTCCCTCACCTATGGTCATGAGCTGTGGGTAATGACCGAAAGAACGAGATCGCGGATACAAGCGGTCGAAATGAGCTTCCTCCGCAGAGTGGCTGGGCGCTCCCTTAGAGATAGGGTGAGGAGCTCAGTCACACGGGAGGAGCTCGGAGTAGAGCCGCTGCTTCTCCACGTCGAGAGGAACCAGTTGAGGTGGCTCGGGCATCTGTTCAGGATGCCTCCTGGACGCCTCCCTGGGGAGGTGTTCCGGGCACGTCCCACCGGGAGGATGCCCCGGGGAAGACCCAGGACACGCTGGAGAGCTGATGTCTCTCAGCTGGCCTGGGAACGCCTTGGGGTCCCCCCGGACGAGCTGGAGGAGGTGTGTGTGGATAGGGTAGTCTGGGCGTCTCTGCTTAGACTGCTGCCCCCGCGACCCGGCAACGGATAAAGCGGAAGAAAATGGATGGATGGATGGATGGATTACTTACCTACTTAATGTAATGCATGAATTGGTCCTAATGAGTTTTATGCCAAAATTAACAGTTGTGGCTCCTTTGACAATGACAACCCTGAACTTTGTAAGAAATGGCACAACACCACAGCAGTTATTTGAAGCTGGCTCTTTCGTCCCTGCGGGGAATCAGCGGTTGCCACTAATCAAGCCAGAAATACTCTCGACATAATTGTTAAGAGACGCCGTAATTTCTCATTTGGAAATGAACAAAACACACTCAACTAGTTCCTCTGGTGGATTGTTATTCTCGTTTAACCATTCTGTATTATCTCCTGTAGATTTTTCGTTCTAAAACATGAAATGACAAAGTGAATAGTTTTCTGAGTGGCTAAAAATAAGGCATAATATGTATTCTTTAAGCAGACGCATGCCTCAAGGAATAGAACGTATGAAACCACTGATGTCTTTTTTACAAACCCACAATACTGGAAGTTGGAGGCATCTGATTTCACTTGTGGTTTGGTCGAACGAGTGGTTTGTTGAAACTGGTTCTACGCTGGTTTGCCACAACACTTAATAAGAGGTTCTTTGCCACCGCTTCTGCTTATAAATGGAGAAGCAACAAAAGCCAAGGGTGCAATGGCTTATTCTTTACGTTTCTGTTAAGTTTTGTTCTTACAATTGAAGTCTGGGTCAGGGTGAAAGACAAAAGATCTGTTTTTTTACATACAGACTGACCATGTCGAGGAAGGAGGCTTATACAGTGCTATTAAACAGTGGAAAGGGAAGAATTGGTATATTTTTTTTGAGAAAAATATGTACAGTAGTCAAGCATTTATGTATGTACTATTGTCATGCCAGTGTGAAAGATTTACTCTGTGGATTTAGGTCTGGGAATGGGAATCTTCCCTGTTCCTGCGGAAGCCATCGCGGGCTCATAGCATACTTCCCCCAAAATAATTCACACTGGATGCACTAAGGGTGATCAGTTAGTTGGTTAGTTTTGTGCCATAACGTTGAATTTGTGCCTCCCTAGGTGTTGTGGAATACTAACACTGCTCATTACTTGACTCCCACCATTCCCACAGTCGAACCTGGTGGTGGCAGCATCCTGCTGTGGGACTGCTTTTTCGAGTTCACACTGTTGTTTTTGCGTTTGCACTGATCTGAAACTACTGATTTTAAACGAGCTTCTAGATAGAGGGTGAAAGAGAACATTCTTTTCAATTCAAATCAAGATGTTGGCCATTTGCAGATATAAGAAATAAAAACACCAAGCTAATATGAAATCACATTCAAATTATAAAAGGCACATTCAAAAGTGCATAAAAATAATTGTCACTGAAACAACTAAAAGTTCATTGTTCAATCTAATGCCAGCTTGTGGGAAAAAGAACAATGGACAATGAAATGTCGCTATAAGGCTAACATATCATTCCCCTGAGACCTAAACTTCTGTCTGATGAATTGTAAGTTTGACACAGAGTTGCTGTTTGATTATGACTGAGACGGACATTGGTGGCTGCATTTCTTGTATCAATGTCCTTCTGATTAAATACAGTACAAGGACATTGTGCAAACACAAATACACCATAATTAAACTTTGGATCCCATCTGCGGAGAGACAGAAATAGACACAGTTACAGTTTTGACTGGTATGGTCCACTGATGTGTGTCCCATGTGTGTACTGACAGAGGCAGGTATTCAAACTTGCCCTTATGTTAGAGGTTCACATAATTATCAGTCTGGAAGTGATAGCGATGTGGGGAGTTCAAGTATCTCAGGTCCTCTTCAGGGAGGCTCAAGAGGTCTTGTTCAAGTGAGGGTACGATGGAGCCTGAGCTTTGGAGGACGACCATAAGGACCTCTACATAGTGGCTGGGTGATCCCTTGGAAATATTGTGAGGCGCTCGAGAGGAGCCAGCTGAGATGGTTCCAAAGCAGCCTCTTGTACATCGTTCTGGGGAGGTTTTTCGGGCATGTCCCCACCGATACAAGACCCAACACCTTTAATATTATCCCTGAAGTGCACGGATGGTACTCAGACTACTGCCTTCACAGGTCGATAGGTAGATGCATTCATTTCTACATTCATTTGTGGAAATTTGATTGCAATGCATCTCCTGTTTTTCCATTGTGAAACTTAAAATTGAGTTTGTGCCCTTACAGTTTTGTTTATGCCCTGTCCTCCTGAGCTTTCTGGTCTGTGTTTTGGCGGCTGGTAGCTCCAAAAAACGTAAAACCGACTGAGCTAGATTTGCTGCCTGTCATGGGCAATCAGTACTGGTCTTCTCAGCGGGAGGTAAATGTAACACTGCATGTTTGTTTCTGTGCTAATCTAAACTGGGACGCTGGGAAATGGCTGTCGTCTTGTTTTCAATCGCCTAAAATGGGAGAAGGAACAATGTCTTCAACTGCATGTGCACTTCAATCATCAAATGTTTTATTTTCTACATTCGCCCTCTCATCTGAATGAACAAAACCAAAAATAAATCTGAAAATAACTAATTAATAAACAAATAATTTTTACTGAACATGTTTCTGTGCCTCTGTCAATAATAGATCTGTATGCCTTTTATCTACAGTATATGGTCCCCTGTCTATACTGTCCAGGTGGCGTCATTGGGACAAACATAATCTCTAAATTTTAATCTTTATTGTGTCACTAAAATTTCTATATTACTGAACCCTCGGTATGTCTGTTTTGGTAATGACAGAAACAGACAAATTGCACATAAATAACACAATGTTTCAAAGTACAAGCCAGATAGAAAAGTACTCCTCTCCTTGTTCCACATCCGTGACAGAGCCATCTGCGGAGCCCTCTTCCCCATGTGTTGTTGGTCCTCATTAATGCCCTCAAATTGCCGTCAACGCGCCATTCCAACTGAGATCATTTTGGCTCCGGCTTTCTGTCCAGGTGCAAAGTTATTTTTAGCCCACATCTCAAAATCAAGAGATGGCTTTCCGTGACAGTTTGAGACAGTATAGCCCTCCTCTACCACATGCCCCAGAAATGGATTATATCTTGTAATGTGCCCTGGACGTGTCTGCCAACCTACTTCCTGCCATGAGTGAGCAGAAGTTTGGCCAAATGTGAAGGAAAATGTGGTTCCAGAAGTAGTTTGCTCCACTCACTCGAAATACAAGCAACGATGTGACGCAATTGTGTTGCAACTGGTGCAATAAGTTAGTATAAGGAAACAATAGTTGTCTGTCAAGAGTTGTGGGTTTAATTACATGTCTGGGGGGCAGTACTGGGGTGGTCCTTCATCCACACTGAAAATTAAAATAGGCCGTTTGACTAAAACATTTCTGGTGGCTTAGTGGCTGAGTGGTTAGCACTTTCGCATCAGGGGCGTTTCTGAGTGGAGTTTGCATGTACAATATCTCCTCGCTCTTAAAGTCTGGGGCCAGGACTTCACCGAAGAAAGATTCTGAAATGTCAGTGAAAAGGTCAATTTAATTCCAAAGGATAACTACAGCGTGTCGATAAATACAAAACATTTATCTGAAACCTGTTTTCTGTTTTGGGCATTAACCCCCAAACCCGTTCTGACACAGGCTGGTGTGGCAGAACGACTTTCCCTTTAACCGAGGTGTGTTCAGTGTGAATACTAAGACCAAAAGTTAGGGGTCATTTAGACACCATGAAAACCAAAGAGTTTTATAGCTGCTTAGGTCACACGAGGAACAACACGAAAATGGGCTGTATGAATAAATATGACTTAAATACTACCAATGACAGTATAAGAAGAGATAAGGTCTTGTGCTTACTTCCTTTGATAAAGTTGTTCCTGTGAAACATAAACAATTTATCTGGGTCATTGAAGATGTTATAACAATACAATAATATGAACATTTGTCTGACAGTGGGGAAATGTTGGTATTGCAGCACAAATACAGGACAATCTACTGTATCTAACTCTGTCTCATCTCATATATTCAACATAACCTAAAAGCTAGCCGTTAACCACATTCCCCCTACAACAAATTTCAACCAAGTTAGTTTAACCAACTTTTTTCATATATGCATGATGGGACCACCTCCTTGAAAAAAACATGATCTCTAGGAGCTATCCTTAAGAAAAAATGAAATAGTTTAATCCTGATAAAAAGTCACAGTTAAACAGCTTGCTCCTGAAGTAAAACAATATTTTGAAGTTTTTGGAAACCTTACTTGGTGAATGCGTATATATATTATTTTGTCGTGAAGGGTGTTGTTAAAGACTATTCTTCCATGTGTCTATGCGGTTTCTGAAGCGTTTCGGATGTTTTACTCATTTCTCAAAACGTGGCAGTTAAAAAAGTAAAGGTTCCTTTGTTGTTTTCAGAGATGTTAGATGCTGAAAACACTCTTTGAAACTGTCTCTGCATGTGCTGCTGTCTAAGATAAGTCGTTTCATCTTCAAAATAGCTGACAGTGACTTTGTGCCAAACAAGTATTTTTGTTCTATTCTGGGACACTGTTTTCATCATTGTTGGATGGCTTTGCAATGTGAGCCAGCACTTGGACAAGAACTAGTTTTATCATCTTTTAAAAAGTCAGGTGGTCCATGAATCCCACTCTCAGAGACGACACTTCACGTTGCCCATGTCAAATAACTTGCATCATGATTGTATTTGTTTTTCAGAAAAGGGGGATTGTTAAAAGGAATACTCAAAATATGCTGCATTGATTTCTGTGAATTGTAGATAATTTTCTTCTCTACAAATCAATTATGAAATTGCGACGAGGCTCTGGATGGTAATAAAAATGATGCTGCAGCCAGAGTACTTATTAGTTTTTTGTTTTAATATTTCCCAAAGTAGTAAAAAAAAGAGTGCTATATTAAAACTGTGATCATGTTTTTTACAGCATGTTTACCATATTGTAGGGAAACATTCACAAAAAGACAAATAGTGCAATTTCATTAGTCATAAGAACATCTGTTGTATCACGTTTCTCATTCCAAGTAATAAAGTGTGTGTAGTATTTAGGTAAAATAAGACATTCAGTTATTGTTAAATCTTTCTTTAAATCCATTCAAATCAAGAGCACTCCTGCTACAACCTGGAACAATGCATCTCTCCTTTTGGCTAATGTATGTTGTACACTGTCCCTGTAAAAACAAAGTATATACATGAGAAATTGAATGGGAAATTGTCCTGAAAATGTTGCATGAAACTCGAATTTGAAACCTGTGTTTTCTATTTTATTCCATAAATTAGTCTACTTTCACTTAACAAACTTACCTTTTCTTTTTTTAACACAGCTAGGACTATGAAGGTTATTTTGTGTTTTTACTATCAACATTTTTTTTTGCTTTTGAATTATATAAACTATAACACAAAAGTATTCAGTGTAAATAAATTCAATGTTTTAAAATTCAGTGTCCAAAAATTGACACTGAATTTTAAAACATTGAATTTTTGGACACTGAATACAAAATAAAAAATAAACATTTATTTACACTTTTTTGTTATAGTTTATAAAATTCAAAAGCAAAAAAAAGTGTTGATAATAAAAACCCAAAATAACCTTCATACAGGACTCTCCCGCTCTGAACGTGACGGCGCTCGTGCACGTCTCTCCTCTCCTCTGTGAACGCGCACTGCTTGCTCCCCTTCTCTCTTCTGTCTCTTCTCTCTTCTCTCTCTCAGTCTCAAACTCTTTTCTCTCAAACTTGTGCGAACAGCGAGCAGCAAGTAGTTCTGCCCCCGCAGCGGTCTGAGGCTCTCACAGAGACAGAGACACCCCGACAGACACAGACAGACCCCGGCAGAGACAGACAGACCCCGGCAGAGACAGACAGACCCCGGCAGAGACAGACAGACCCCGGCAGAGACAGACAGACCCCGGCAGAGACAGACAGACCCCGGCAGAGACAGACAGACCCCGGCAGAGACAGACAGACCCCGGCAGAGACAGACAGACCCCGGCAGAGACAGACAGACCCCGGCAGAGACAGACAGACCCCGGCAGAGACCAGCGCGATGGAAGGGAAGCGCCTGCACACAGTGTCTGCCCGAGTGGACGCACATGGTAGGGCTACAGCATGGGTAGAACCGTGGGACCGTGGGACCGTGGGACCGTGGGACTGCATGATGTTCGCGCCGTCTTCGCTAGTTAAAAAAAAAAAAAGTTTGCTTGAGCATGTAAATTCTAAAGTCCTTGAGAAAACAATGTGGATTTGAATTTAATTTTGCCTTTACTATTCCCAATGCAGTCAACAGGGAGGAAAGTGGTTTAGTTTTTCAAACAGCTAGCTAATTTAATTTTGACAGGAGCACGTGCCATTAGCACAGTTAGCCTGATAGCTAGTGAGCTACCTTGAATTTGCGTAAAACTTTCAATATTAATGTGATATGTGGAAGACAAGTTTGGAGACATGCATGCTTGTTAGAATAATAATATATAATTAATATATACAGTCTATGATTGGAATGCACGTTGAAACCTTTGGGTGGAGGTTTCTACAAGGGCTGAAAGTTATTAAATTAATCGCATAGTGTGTTCAAAAATGATAAATTATTGAAAAATTAAAACGTGTTTTTATTTTTTTTATCAATTTTGCAGACAAACACATATACAGAGAAAAAAAAGAGAAAGCAAAGACCTAGTTCAGACACATCACCTTCTTCACATTTGCAGATGTGAAGAGAACTGATGAAAGAGATGATAAAATGGGATTAGACCGAGATTACAAACAACATGCAAACGTGTATTTTCAATGCAACCATTTTGTGTTCATTCTCTTCACGTAGAGCAGAGTCTCTTCAACGTTGTGTTGGTAAATTTGAGTAAAAACTATGTTAATAGAGCTATCCTGATCCAAACAAAATATATTGATTGAAAGCCCATTTGCACTAATACATTTGAGTTCAATATTTCTGTCTAACTTTGCGACTAGAGCAGGGAATCATTCATAACCTGCCACTACAATGCTTATCACAATACAATTAGTAAGTAAGTAGTAAGTAAGCTTTATTTATATACCGCCTTTCACAGACCAGAGTCACAAAGCAGTTTACAATTGTTATTTTTTGGGCACTTGTCCTCTCACTTCACACAGAGATGGGAGCGGGGTCGCCGAACAGGAGGCGCATGCCAGACCTATTGTACATATTTTTAGTGGTAGGGGAAACCGGGTAGGAGCACCCGGAGGAAACCTACGCAGACACGGGGAGAACATGCAAACTCCACTCAGAAAGGCCCTGGTCCGGCCGGGATTCGAACCCAGGACCTTCTTGCTGAGAGGCGAGAGTGCTATCCACTCAGCCACCGTGCTGCCGGTGGCTGAGTTACTAAGACTTTTGACCCATTATCTAACACTCTGCCACATTATGACAAAATTAAAACACTATTGTTGCACTTGTATTGAAATTATTTAAGATGAATTGTTATTAAAGTTAAAAAAAAATCTCAATGTTTATTTTACAGTTTTAACCTACGACCATTTTATCCCAGAGTAGAAAAACAAGATTTACTGCAAAAATATAAAATATACAATTTGTGTTGAGCTTGAAGTAAGTCTAATGTTTGGGCTGCATGTTCACAAACAACACAAATCACATTCAACATAATTCCTCTCAATAAAGGGCAAAATTAAGTTATTCTAACCATTTGTTTTCTGGGGCTTCTCTGCTTGCATGAGATTTGGAACTGGTGTCATGCATGTCATTGCTGGACTTTTGCCTTTCTCAAAATAACAGCAGCCAGATTTACACAAATCCTTAAACAGTTGTTTTCCTCACGTTCCGCTTGAATGGCTTTCTTGACCTACGGTAAAACAAAAACACCACATTTAAGCGGTGGAAGTTCAATCCCCGTGGTATTATAGCCTCCGCTCTTCTTTTCTTTGCGGAGATTTCCTAATGAGCCCGTCTTTCCATTGGGATTACCCTCTTTCGAGCCATAAAAAGATGATTTCCTGAGCCAAAAATGATGTCGTCTCCTGGATGATAGTTGACTGTGTTGGCTGCCATCCAGAATAATGATCTCCTGCTTATTTCTATAGGATTACTCGCCTGCAGCCTGTTAATGCCTCTTAAGGAGTCAAGAAAAGGCAGTTAAGAGCTCCGGTTAATGTTGGTTTGGACCGTTAATTGACTTCTAATTATGTTTTGGTTAAGAATGTGAGTCGTACCTTTTTACTTAGAGAATTTCAATGATGCAGAGGTGCTTGCTGCTTCTCATAAACCTAATCTACCCTCACTGTAATTGTTCTTCTCTCTTATAGCTGTGCAGGGATGGAACATTTAGCAGAATAAATGGGTTGATGATGAAGTGTTGAATAGATTTAGGCATTTTAATTTGAACTTGGTCAAGGCTAGAGTTAGAGAAGTTTGAGGCAGTTATTGTATGCTTGGGAAGTTTGGAAAGTATTGAGCTATCGAACAGTACATGGTGTCTGTAAAAAAATGTTTATTTTAAAGATTTCTTGTCCACTTGCTGTTTTGTTGAGCACATTTCTCTGAATTACACCGTATAAATCAGTAACACAAAAACTGTTTAGTTCGATATTTAACCCTGACAGCTTAGTGAGTTTAATTGTCTTTCTTAAACAGATAGTTGCACTGTGTTTACTATGTGCTTTCTGTCTAAATATTTAGATTATAATTGTATGCGGTAGTTTTTTAGTTTAGTTTAGTTTATTTGAGCAGTTTCCATTTGTGTTTTACATTCACATCTTTGTACATTATTACAATTATTTACATTAACATTTTTGAAAAATAAAAATAATAATAAGGATTGAAAAAGAAAAGGAACTACCTCAAAAGGAGTAGGCCGAAGCAAGAAAGCTTATAAGTGCCTACCCCCTATTCAACTGCATTTATTTTCCAGCTGCAGGCGGTCCCCAATAGGGGTAATAATAACAAAGGTACGAACGATTTTTAGTATTTAAGTTTAACCATTTACAAAATGCCAAGTTCGGTCATTACTTATAACAACAGGTCACCATTCTATTGATTTATTTAATTGAAGTTTATATTTCTCATTGTTTTATAATATAGATGCATGCATACCATTATCACCGTCACCTTAATGACGATGGCAATTGCATTTCCAAAATATCATGCTTCACCTTGCTGTCCTTCCCATTTCCACTGCATTTATCATTTGTATTGGTTGTGATTTTTTGTCAGTGGATTATGATTGTTTGCCTTATTCATTGAGGTGCGTTAAAAAGCCAGGGTGTAGTGTGGCCCGCTGGTAAGGGGCAGTAACCCCCCATCAGCGAGCCCTCACCCTGCTGCCCTGACTAGATTGTAGATGTGAGCCGTTTTGTACCCTGTACTGAGTGTTGCATTAAAAAGTTTGTGACCAAAACAATGCAGTTTTAGAATATAATTGTATGTGGTAGTTTGTGACCAAAACAATGCAGTTTTTGACACAAATTGGGGGCTACTTCCTGGATAATTTGTATCTAACATTACTGACTATGAGTTATTACTATCACAGTCTTCACCCATAATGTTTAGTTGACAATTTATCACGTAGTCTGTTGATACTTGGCATATGCTGTGAGGTTTGTTCATATTAAGGATCATATTGAAAGCCATCCAGATTGGAATTTAAAAAGTTAAGATGTTTTAGTTAAGCATTCCTAAAACTACTCTCAAAGGCTGACTTGAACTGAAATGTATGCACTCTCTCAAACTGTGAGTACCATAGTTTTCACTCATGCAAAGGGGTTTTATCTTAAATCTTTATCATATGAGCTATACCAAGGACCCAATTCAGTCGTCTTATGTATCTCATAACTATATGATGTAACGCTGATGAATTTTTATGGCCCATTTCTCCTGCTCCAAAGTTCTCACAGTCGCTATCACTGGACACCACACCACCAGCTCATCCTTGGAGAGTAAAGACATCTCCATAATAAAGGCCAGGACTACCCAACCATGAGCTGCTCCTCTGCAGTGTGCCGCGTACAATGATGTGGTTAGTGGTGCTCATGTAATACACAATGGAGCAGGGAAAAAGTGCCTTAGCTGCATCTGACTTTAACTTAATGTATGATGATCAGCCACAGGTGTAATATGTGTAAAGTACCTGCACTAATCACAATGCTGCAGCTTGAGTGCTGATTAGAACCAGGTGATCACATTAGTCCATTTCTCAGATCTCTGCCCTGGCTTCCAGTGGCGTAGAGAATTGACGTTAAATCTTTCCTTGTGTTTGAATGACTTCATACAAAGCACTTGCCACATGGCTCCTATAGCAATAAAGAGGTCAAAGAAATAATATAGTATTATTTATAGGGCTGGGCAATAAATCGATTTTAATTATTAACTCAAATTTTACGTTTAGGGCGATTTCTTTTTAATGAAAATCAAAAAAAAAAAATCTCCAGCGCAGAGCTACAGTGCTAACACGCTAACTGCGAGTCAATGGTGTTGAGCAGTCGTTTTGAAGCTAACCTAATGCTAACAGTCTCCCTCTGGCCTGACGCTCACTCTCACAGTTGGTGCTGTTGCAATAACACTTCAAACGTTCAACAATCAGTCTTTATATAATCGCCAGAACACACCCACGCATGCAGGGTCCGGTCGCTCTGCTTACGCCACATCTTTCATTCTCATTCATTCATTTCTCAGAACTCATGCTCGTTACCCCAAAGCGCACTCCCGTGTCCGCGGCGCGCACACACACGTGTCCCACTGAGCCGCTGCACTTTTTGGAAAGGCACATATCACACATTTCTCTCATTGCTCTGATACAAACAACGTTTAGCGTTAGCTACAGTACCCGTTAGCTACAGTAGCAGAATGTAACAGGAAACTTAACTCGCACATGAAGTTAGTATTAGCGCCACCAGCTGGACCGATCGTTGTACTACAGCACAGTTACTCAGGCACAGTTGAAAGAACAAGCATGAAAACCCAAGGAGGCTTTTGTAAAAGACTTTCTCTGTAATAACATTTGTATTTTGAGTAATCAGTTTTAAAAATGTGATATTTCATGTAAATAATGCATGTGTTAAATATGATTGATATATTTGCTATGGCCCTCGTTTATGCGATTTAAGTTACTTT